AAACATTTCAAAGTTATCATTCAAATTGTCATGACATCATAAATATACCACTATTTAAAGGAACAAGCCAAGCACATGAAAAACACATTTGTGAAATCTTCTCAATTTTAGTCTAATTTGTTTCTCACAACTGTTGGTGGGAAAATGATATTTTTTTTAAAGTCGGTGATCAGTTTTCAACAATTTGTCGAAATGAACAATTAAACCATTTTCCTCCCATGTGAAGGGTCAGATACTGAAATGCTGAAACCCCCTGATCCTGACAAGAAAAAGATTCTTTTTCTAAACCAAAGGGAGGAGTTTTAAAGGAACTGGGTCTGAAATGATCCTCATTTTTGATTTACCTCTAGAGATGGATGTCATTTTCAGTTTTGCCGTTCAACAGCATCTCTTACATGTGACCTCCCCAACAGTATCTACAATATTTAAATGGCTGTACCAATAATATGCTAAAGGTTTTGCTAAATACAAATTCCAGACATTTCATATTTGGGTCTGGTTTTAGTGCGATTTGCAAACAAATCTAAACTTAACAAAAAGCTACCTGAAAATATCGGACTGGACGGAAAATCCAGGATCCTATGGGTCACCATCTGACCAATGTAACCTGAATATTTCAGTTATATCTACCTGTTTCTCCCGGCTGATACTTCGGCTTATCTGTTTGGATGAATGTTCTCGGCTTATAGACTTTGATCAAGACTTTCTTGGTTTGTGATATGTAGCATTTGTAGCTCTTTATAACTACGTTGACCTTCCACACTTCATCACGAGGCACTGAAGGAACCTGCAGCAGTGAGAAATTGAATCTTCAATAACAACAGATGAAAAACCAAATGCTTGCAAGGTATAAATCCCATCCGATGTTTGAGATACAACTGATTCAATCCTAAAACTACTTGAAAGAAATAAGTTTCAAGAAAAAAATCTTTGGAACCTACCTTAAAGTTTAAGCATCTTCCAAACCCATTCCTGCTTACAGTTTTCAACAGTATCTTTTCATTCCTTTTTGATTTTAAAATGACCCGGAAGTCCACGTCCTGAAGGGGCTGCATTATACCCACACAGAATCTGTTCCTGCCTCCAGATCTAAGAACCGCAGGAATGGCTACGAAAAATTTTCTTCAGAGAGAAAGATTGAAAAATGCAAAGGGTTATCTTTCTGAAACGTACATAGAAGAAACTCACAACACAGTTTTAACATAACGACAAAAAAAATTCCATCATCCCATAAAAAGAAACTTACATTCCGCAGCACCTAGGGGTACGACCACAGTTTGGGGGTGGCGGTCCAGCAGCATGGACCAAAAGTAACGCCTGAGCCAAGCACAAGAGGACAAATAGCCTCCATGACCACATCTGAATCGCAGGACGAAGCATGGCCAACTGTGATGACCGTTAGCCAGCAACCATTATTTAAGATGTAGGTAGCCTAGGCTCCACCCAACCTCCACCACACAGCACACACCCACTGCTCTCATCATGGAACTGTTCCTTCTCATATTCGTCTCACAAGACGTTCATTCAACACGTGAAAAGATTTTTTTTGTAGTTGTTATCTTGTTGATACTTCCAACTGCCATCTCATCTTTTATCAAGTGGCATACTGTAAGAATATCAGTCTTAAAAGGCCTCCACGAGAAGGGATTTATATCTGTTTACCATCTGCAATGAGAAAGAGTTTCCCCAAAACTACGTTTATGTTCAACTGAATTTGTTCATACTGTGCCAAACCAGAGCAAAGTCATCTTAAGGCACTTTAAAATGACCGAATGTTGATTTTCTTTTATTTCTCAGCAACCCATGAGCATAACAAGCAAACAACCACCCAAAAATTGTAAAGAATTAAAAGCCAAATTTAGGAACTGCCTTATGGAGAGCTTCTGGTCAAACATCTCCACCATAGTCCACTTTCTGAATCCTTTATCCTGCTGTCTCATGTGATCACGCAGCCTTCAAAGATATTGCAAAATCAATTAAACTTTCCACCACATATTGGCCACTATGTGTGTGTTATATAATCCTAATATATTCTCTATTACCTAATTTCCTTGGACAAGAACTCAGTATATGAATTAAACCTAAAAACGGCGTGAATCAAACCAACATTCCAGGCATCAAGGGAAGCAAACTTCATACTCATTTAATCAATCTAGTAATATCAGTGGACTTGTGTGTAAATCATACGTAATCAGCCACGCAAAGGAACTCCATCCTTTCCTGAGGAAAAGGCAGTCAGTCAGTCAAATTCTGCCCGTTGTCATCATTTCAGAGTTTTTTTTGTCTCTTCTGTGTCTCCACACATGACTAAGACAAGGTGTTTAATGACCAACGTCTGCCTTATGTAAGATGACATGAATGTCACTTTAAGTATTTTTCAGCAGCTAGGAGAGCATTTTTATTTTTAATTCATGATAACTAACTGGAATGGAAATCCCAAAGTAAAACAGGAAGACAGTAAAATTGAAAGAAAGCTAATTGACATATTCCGTGATATCTTTGGGCTATTGTTTCATCCACAAACAACTAAATTTGACTATTAATAGTCTACAAGAGACCAAATACTGTCTTGTCAAATTAAAGAAGTAAACCTTCCTTCAGAAGTCTAATACATTTTTATTTGGAGGAAGTTCTTTAATTCTTGGTTTTACAATGCATTCTGTTCGGGGAATCTTTAAAATGGTTCAAACAGGTAGCATTTAAAAAAGGGGTGACATTAGATCTCTGACCCTTGTCCCTTAGAAAGGAACAACATAAAACAGATCTACTTTAACATCCAGCTTGATGACCGTCTGGAAATTGTAATAAAAAAACAGTTTAATCACTAACATTCATGACGAGCATAACATGTTTAGATGGCAATGGTGAATAATTTATATTTAGCCCAGCCACATTTTGGAGTTGACTAACAGATAGTGGAGGAAGAATACTTCTATTCATTCCTCTGACCTCCAGGAGACATAAAACAAGAGGACCATAAGGATCAAACAGGCTAAGAAAAGGGTTAAATTAAATAACTATCTGACAAGGAGTGAAATAAAACGTAGTGATAGCCGATTACCGCGAGGTGGCCGAGAATTTATGATAACCAAGCTGATACAAGCTGTGTGATTTTTGAACGCACACATGTAAAATGTTCACAATCTCTCAGCGTGCTAAACACACTGATACGCCAAAGCTGATGTGAAGAACCAGAGGCACCCTCAGGCTCCCTGGTGATAGCCGAACAAACAACATGTCACACAAACGCACCGCAGAGATTACAGCTGATGCAAAAGAGTAACGGGGACAGAATGTGCCAGTGTGGAAGTAAGCGGTAATGTACAAAGAGGGGAAGCAGATCGTCACGTGATTGTTCAAGTAAAAGTTACTGTAACAATCCCTTTGAGTCACAACCTTAGGCCATGCCAGCAAAGTGAAAATCACCAACAATCACAAGCCTTTACAAACAATCTTAACCCTTTAAAGCCTGATCCAAGAAAAATAGGAAGAATATTGGTTTTTGTTTCAGTCTGAAGTCTTTCTTTGGCACCTCAACAACATATGAAGAAAAAAAACTAATTATTTTGCTCAAATTAGCGTGCAATAAGTCAAAAATATATTTCCGTGTAGTATTCTACTGGCTGTTATCAGATATATCTGAATGTGTACAACAGGGGTTTGAGCAAAGCTGTTACCATTGAATGATGCAAAAAGTCTCAGATCCAAAAGACTTCAGAAACTGTATGTATCAAATATGATACATTTGGCATTATATGACATCGGGCATAACTTTGGATGCTCTCTGGTAAAAGACATTATGACAAAGACCGATTTACCATTTCCTCGATTTTATTGAAGGACAGAGGATAAAAGCAGCTGGTATGACCCACGAAATGACCCACAAAACTTTTAACAGCATCTATTTCGAGTTGACTTGAGGCAGATAAACTGAATAATCCTTTATTGATCTAAAAATCAAAATTTAGAACGGCATCATCATTACAGATTACTTGTCAGTAAAAAGAATTGAGCAGTTAACAGTCTTTAGACTGACCACATGTGCAATACTGTACGTTACTGATGACCACTGTTTCTGAATCATGTTTGAAACATCATTTATGGCTTTTTACAGGTACTTTAAGTACAAGCTGATGAGCAGCATTTTAAGTCGTACTGTCCAGAAAAAGAGCAACACTTGATTCAGCAACAATAGTTGTACAATAACAGAAAGAGACTTTAACTTTGTGTGTCTGTACAACAGAGTGATGACATTTGAAAGCGTGTAGCATGACTGACTGTAATCAAATCAGCTCATAAAAATAGCCGTTGGCATTCAACTTGAAGTCCTCTTATTCAGGGATGACACATTGACCAGTGTATGTTTATTTTCTCAAAGCAGTGTCCGCATCAAAGATTTATAAAAGTAAGCTAATCCACCCAGTTTAATCGGGCCGCGGCAAGTAAAAGATCTGAGATACAAGAATAAAAGGAGGATGGAGAAGACAGAGGCAGCAGAGCTCTGGACCAGCTGAAGTTTATGGAGGAATTAGAAGAATAGACAACATCAAGGAGCATCCCTTAAACCAGGAAGAGATGTGAGTAGGAGTAGAGAAACAACGTTCTGACCAGAGGTTGTTTAGGCTACCTGGTGGAAGAAAGCCGACTGAGCAATGCTAGCCGATACGTGCAGTAAAGGTAAGACAGGGACGTTGGATTTTTATAGCACTATTCATACACAAGGAATTTTAAGGTGGTTCATTGGAACTTTGAAATATATTTGAATAAAAGGAACATTGAAACTGCATTTGAGATTGAAAACAGAAGTTAATGGCAGGGAAACATTATGAAAATGCATTTAAAAATCAAACAAAGCAACAGCAGACAAAAACTATAGATGCAGAATAATCTTATAATTATTGACTTATTAACTTTATCGGTAAGCTTTATAGACAAATAACATTTCAATGTGCAGTGACAACTGTAATGTGCTACATTCTCCTGGTGTTGGTCAGGAAACCAGGAAAATACTTTTGCTTTTGTATTCTTTTCTTACAATGTAATAAGATACGCACACTGACACACACAGTTATTCAGAAAACTTTATTGATTCTTCCGTCTGTTATGCATGCAATGCATACATTTGCAGAAGTGACAATAATTAATAAATACATTTCATACAGATGAAATGCACAACACGAAAATTTGTCTTAAAGAAACTAACTTCCAATTGTGCTGGAATCAGTGATGAGCACTACGACAACCAAAGCAAATTCAAGCTGCAAAAGAGAGAGAGAATAAATTAACTTTCAGTCTTCCGTCAATTGAACTTTAGATGCATCAGCGCCACCTGTTGGACTGGTGAGCATGTGTTTGTTTTTGGATTTAGATTTTTTATATAATTTTTCTATATCTATTTGGTCTAGTTATCTTTTTGTGTGTTAACAGTTTGTTACCTGACACAGTGTACTCAGTCTCTGCCCTGTCACCTGGAAGGAAAAAAAGAGAAAAAAATCTGTGTCCAATAGATCTAAAACACGCATTTTAGAATTAAGACTACCATATGTTCAATGTGTTAACCGACTCCTTTAAAAAGAAAGCAAGTGAGCTGTCGATAAACGGATATCTGGATTTACTTGGCTGATAGTAGTCGTACAACGTGACCACGGCTGGTTTGAGGTTCTGCACAGGGAGCTGCTGAATGAGCACCACGTGGTGCAAGACAGGGAAATCCTTCGGAAACTGAAAAGTACAGAGGAGAGAGATCACTCTACTGAAATAGATCCCAAGAGAATCCCGGGGAGTGTGCATTCCTCTCACCTTTTCTATGTATATCATAACGTGACCGTCCTTGTGTTCAACACGATCCACCATCCAAGAACCTTTCAACTGGGAGAAGATCAGAACAGCAGTTTGAACATGTGGATACCAATGTAGTAGCAAACATGCTCTTTCGTGCAAAAATCTTCAAAAATCTTACATCCTTTAAAGGCTGAGGATCGGGAATATAACCCGATAGCAGGGCAATATCTAGGATCATCATGTTGGTTGAGTTTTCTTTTCCACTGTATCTGAAATTTGGCATTAAAAATAGTTTTAAATCAAGAGAAAAAGAAAGTAAAATTCTGAAAGGCCTTAACAAAAGCCCTCAAGAACCAACAGTTGCATTTGTACGCATTCCTCTATGTGAAACTTTTCTTTACATGACTTACTCTGTCAGGAGCTTCAAAGTGACTTTGGGTCTTGGGCCGGAAGAGTCCGTCTCCGTTTCTACTTGCACCTTCAGGTTGGTGCCATCAGTAACAGTTGGGATGTTGTAGTGATGGGAAATCTACAAAAAAACATCTTATCACAGACTCAAAACACACTGGCAGCAGAGGGGGCTCTTAACTCATTACAGACCTTTTGGACACTGATCACATGAAACCCGAGAAAAAGCTCACATTTATTATCGATCAGCTTTTCTATGCTATTCTCAACTATTGCCTTAATTACACAATCAACTGAATTAATTTGTTTACAATATTTTTTATTATATTCGTGATATATAAATTATATAAATATTCATTTTAAATTGTGATATTTTAAACAATCACAAAATAATCACAATTTATATTCAAAAATTTTCTTTCTTTCTATATTCGGTGAAAACAGACAGACATTGTGATTGACTTAAAACAGCAAAACCTGCGCTCTGGCCACTGACCTGCACCGAGGCGCACGCAGATCCCTTCACCTCCAGGCTGAACTTTCCCGAGGCCTGTTGCAGTATCTTTTCCTGATACAGGAGCTTGTTTTCCGGGTTTATATCGAACTCCAGCTGTCCACCGGGAGACTGAAAGGTCACTGCACTTGAACCTTGGCGAGTAAACACCAGACCAGAGTAGAGAGACAGCGCCTGTAGAGCCACCACCGTGTCCTACAACACACACACACACACACACACACACACACACACACACACACACACA